CTCCTCATCTCTCTCACTCCGTGTCCCTCTCACTCCTCATCTCTCACTCCCTGTCCCTCTCACTCCTCATCTCTCTCACTCCTCATCTCTCTCACTCCCTGTCCCTCTCACTCCTCATCTCTCTCACTCCCTGTGTCTCTCTGCAGGAAGCCGGGAGCAAGCTGAGACCAGACAGAGCATCACTAGGTTGAGTCAGGAGGTGAGGCAATACTGCTGCTACTCATAATATACATGATGATGACTAGTTGCGCAGTAATTTAGCGACTCACCCTCTTTCCCTGCTTCTCCCTCGCCTCCCTCTCTCTAGATGTCCAGTCTGTCCCAGCAGGTGGCTCAGCTGAGCAGTGAGCTCCAGGAAATGACCCGCCTGCTGAGGCCCCTCCTGCTGAGGTCCCAAGCCATCCCCCCTTCGCTGACCCCCACCTTAACCCCGCCCCCCAGCAGTGCCAGCGCGCCGTCTGTCACAAGCCCCCTCCCGGCCCCCCCCGCCCCGCCCCCGGCCAGCTCCTCGCTCACCGCCCCTGCCTCTCTTCTCGGCAGCCGCTCGGAGCCCCGCCTGGAGGACACGGAGGCAGGTGGGCTCTTGGGCAGTCTGTTCCCCTCCTGCCCCCCCCAGAGAGCCCCCCTCCAGCCCCAGACATCCTCCTGTTTCCCAGGAAGCCCCTGCCAGCCCCTCGCCCAGCCGGGGGCCCGGAAGGAGGGCGCAAAGACCCCGTGCCCCCTCCAAGACCGCTGGCCCCTCGTTTCTCGGTCTCCCTCGCCCTCGCTGTCTCTGTCCCTGTCCCCCTCGCTCTCGTCCTCCCCCTCCCCGTCTCCCTCCGTCTCCCCTTGCCTGGGGCCGCACCTCTCCGCAGCCGAGAGCCGGAAGAGAGGCCCCCGCCCCACGCTGCCGCCCCGTTCCTCTCCGCCAGTCACCCCCCCACACGCCCCTTCCTTCCCCGGTGACCCACAGTGTCGTGCCGGCTCTCCGGGGAACCAGGGGGTCGGACATTATGCCCCCTCACCTTGCCCCTACGCCTCCTGTTCCCACCCCTCTCCCTCTCCCTCTCCCTCCTGCCCCGGGAACTGGGACTCTCCCGGGGAGAGGGAGGGGGCGCTGCAGGCGGGGTCCCCCAGCCACACGGGGTCCAGCAGCAAGCCCCCTCCTCTGGAGCTGCGGGAGTGGGGGGCAGGCGGGGAGCACCCCCAAACGGAGAACATCAGCTTCATCGACGAAGAGGGGACCCCCCTGTGAGAAGGAGAGAGGCTGAGGAGCGAGCGCAGGACTGAGAGAGAAAGAGGGACCCCCCTCGCTGTGCACATCCCACCCCCTCGGCCCCTGCCGGCTGCGCCAGGGGCGCCCCCATTCCCTGCATCGCTGCCGCCCCCGCCTGTCTGCCGTGGGCACACCGGCGGGCACCCGAGGGCACACAGGGTGCTCCAGCTCCCATCTTCCCCTGGGCCGGAGTGCGTGCTGGCGTTGGCACCCTGGGAACCGACAGACGCTGTGGGCACGGCGTGGCAGTGTTAACCAGTCGTCTGCGGGGACGAGGGACAGACAAAGGGGAGGGACCCCCACTGGTTTTCAAGCTGCTGCTTGCTCCCGTGCACAGGGCCTGACACAGACGCTCGTGGGCGGACCAGGACGAATCGACACCACCACAGGCGTGGGGACCCCCTCCAGCGGGGGAGTGGCAGTGGAACGGGTGGAAGGGTGGCTGTGTCGAAGGGGCCTGCAGGCACGCAGGAGACAGGGTCTGCCGGCCTACTGCCATGCCAGTGAAGCACACAGACCCCAGTCCTGCCTCCTAACTCTTCACGCTTGAGCTTCGCTTCCTTCTCCAACGCGCGCTCGTGGCTCCAGAGCGCAGCGCTAACCCCCAGTGTGCTCCTGGAAGACGGGGCCCCCTGTCCAGATGACCTGCTGTTCTTCATTACCCCCTTACCCCCAGTGTGGCCCCTGTTCACCAGCTTGCAGGCAATGCTGGACTGGTCCGGTATGTAGCGTCTTGAACCCCGATCGAGAGGCCTCGAGCCCCAGATTTGCCTGCTGATCTGCACTGCCTGCCCATCCTGGAACTGAGCTGCCCTGTCCCAGTCGCAGTGCTGGGTGAGGGGGTCATGCTGAGGGGGGCAGGGCTGTGTTCCACAGAGAGAGGTGGGGGCACAGACACTTGGACACTCAGTGCAATGATCTCCAGTCCTGAGCCAGGCTGAGGGCCCATTATTACTGCTATTCTATCAACACGTTCCATCCTTATACAAACTGTTCCTACTGCCATTGCTGTTCTCATTAACTGAGCCAACCTAGTATGTATGTATCTCATCGACGAACTGGTTACGTTCTGGACATGCCTGTTGGTGCTGTTAGTGTTCTCAAGTCAAGCAGGAGAAGCTGCCTGGCATTAAAATGTGGGGAGGGGCGGCAGGGAGCTCCCTGCCTCTCGTCAAGAGCTGCCTTTCCTTTCATGACCGTTGAGGGCAGGAGGTGAGGGAGCAGCACTGCATTCTGGGACGTCGAACACCAATCCCAGCCGAGCTAGGCAGGCCAGCAGCTTTCTTCCTGTTCCTTCAAAATAATGAAAATCAAAGAGAAACATTGAAGAAGTCCAGTGTAGCCTATTTAAAGATGCTGGCATAACCGGCTTGCTAATTAATCGCTTAATTAATTGATAATCCAACTATAGTAATTTAACCCACAAGATGTACCAAAGACCTACACTGGATTAGAAGGAAAGGGGCCAGGTTTTTGGAAGTTTTGTGTGACTTTGAGGGTCCCGGATCACTGCCAGACTTGCCCCCCTGCTAGGCAAGCTACACAAGGTCAAGATTTCTGCCTTTTTGTTTTAAGACAGAAAGTGTCTGAGTGCCGCTTGCGCTGTTTGGAATTTCTGACAACCCTTCAGAACGGGCCCCCCCTGTTAGAGAGGGAGGGAGAGCTCAGGCCTGGGTCTTCAAATACTGTGGGAAGATCCAGGAAACTCTATTATTGTTTTATGCAGGGGGATGTACTGTAAATTGGTGAGGCCTCTGTATGACTGACGCTCAGGACCTGGGTCGACCAAAGGGAAATTACACGCAGGTGTACTTAGTCGTGAAGGTGGGGGAGAGTTGTCTTTATACAAAGAGTTGTGGGTGTCTGGAACAATCTCCTGTACTCAGTCACGATCTGAAAGCTGTCAGCCTTCGAGAAACAAGAGTCACACCAATGTAACGCCAAATGGCCTCCTCTGATTTGTAGCCTTCCTCGAGTACTGACAGATGTCACCTCTGACTCGGGTTCAAACCAGTAGCTGAGCACCAGTGACTGCTTTTAATTGCCCAGCTCTCCCCTGCCCTGCCACCTGCACTCAGGCCCACCCGCTAGCCTGCTCTTCCAGGATGGACTCTGGCTTGTCATGACCCTCAACAGGCTGGGCGACTTGGAAATCAGGCTTTAGCTGCGAGCTGCGCTGTTGTGAAAACGAGCTTATCCACACCCCTTCCTCACCTGTTAGCCCAGGGGTCGGGCTGAGGTCAAAGGGCACCCACGGGTCATATACATCGTAGGCCAAACAGAAGCATCTGAACAGAAGAGCGTAGTATTGTCAAGACACCAGCGCACATTCCTACAGGCCGTGAAGACACGACAGCGGTGAGACTCGCGGAATCAAAAAACTGCTTGAAAATCCAGGGACCTGGAATCGTTTCTCTTTTTCCATGGATGAGATGCCAGTGTCACGCGCCGGGTTTCACTGGAGCCCAAATTTTAGCCATCCCACCATCCGTGCCTTCTCTTTTACTTTATTCACAAAGTCACGTACAGACATAACGTGTTGCTCACACACATGCGTGTAGAATCATTACTCGAGAGAGAGAGAGAGAGAGAGAGAGAGGGCCCCTGAAGCCCTGTGGGAAAACGTGAAGGCTTTTTCATGGGACTGTGTCTTCGCGGTGGTTTCTTTCAGCCGACTGTTCTGTTTCCCAGTTTTCCTTTGTTTAAACGAGAGTAAAGAAAATGCAAAAATGATACCAAATGGACTGTAAAATAAATGCATGTGCATAAGGCGACTGACCGAGCAGCTGGGGAGAATGGGAAAACGAGCGTAGCTACGCAGCTCACAGCAGGCACAGGGCTGCGTCTGTTGAAGCTGGACGTGGCTCACTTGTCCGGCTCTGCTCCATGGCCTGGTTTCAGGATCCAGCGGGAGAGAAGCATCGGAGTGGTTTCTCCGAGGCAGGCGGGCATGAAGGTCGAGCAGCGTGGAGCGGAGTCAGGGCCAAGCGGAGCGTAGGGAACGCGGGGGGGCCGAGATCTGTGCCCACCCCGCGCGTGTCCGAGAGGAGAGGGTCTTCCACGCCGACTGCTGCCCCGAACTGCCCGGTCCCGGGCCGTCCTTGTTGAGATCTCTGTCTGTCCAGCATCGCAGGTGCCCAGGTGGCACCGAGCCCCGGTACACACCCACGCTCATCCCTCTGCCTTCACACGAGCCCGACCCAAGCAGCCTCTCGGCCCGGAAACACTGAGCAGGCTTCTTCTTAATACAAAAATAAAAAGCAACACTCTCATTCCTCGGATTTCACATCTGATGGCACTAGTCCCAGACTCGCTCGTGTGACACTTTAATTTGCACATATAATTGCTGATCAGGGTCACTGCAGCCTCTTGAGGAAGCCTGATGAAAAAGCAGGAGACAGTTCACAACAGCAGAGGCCAGAGGCCAGCCCTGTGTGCCCTGCGCTCTTCCTCGCTCAACAGAACCAATCACTGGCTAATTGGAGCATGCCCAGTGCTGTGTGCAGGGCTGCCTGCTAAGCATGGCTCTGGGTTTCATTAGGGAACTGGCGGTGGAGTTAGAGGCAGTGTTAAATGGTTTAGACACACGTTCTCCCCTGTCTCTGCTGCTCCTGGCCTTCTCAATGGAGGGAGCTGCCTGCCGCCCAGCAGACATGGTGTAGCTCGTACTGGCATGACAATAACCCTTCTGTGATCGGGGCTGGAGTTTTAAGTTGATGTGGCTATGCAGGGAGAGCATGAATCAACACGCCTCTAATAATCAAGAACCAGGTGGAATACAGAGCCCCTGTATTGATCTGACAGTAAGGCACCGCTGTGCACACACTTCTCCAGATCATGACATCAGGGGCAGCCTTGAGCCCCTCTTTCACTTGGCAGTACTGGTAATTTATCTGCGAGCCCTTTCTGTGAGCGAAGGCTGTGGCCCAGAAGGCCAGGAGATCTAGACTGGATGTAAACACAACAGGCCCCAGCAGGGAACGCCGAATCTCAGGCCACCTAGCCTGTTCCCATGCATCATGCTGGCAGCACCAGGTCTTTCGCAGGTCCTTGGCCAAGCAGGCGCTGGAAAACGTCAGCGCTGACGGGCTCTGTTCCAGCTTTGGCCTTGGTTACTTCGCTGCACTGGGCCTTCAGTCAGCTGCTAACTGGAAAAGACCTGCTCTGAGCGCTGCAGGACTCCACCCCCCTCAAGGCCTAGAGGCGCCTCTTCGTGATCCACACGAAAAAAGGAGTTGACAAAACTGTGATGCGGCCGCGCTGTCAGTTATTAATTGATCCCTTGCTCCTGGGGTACACCAGCGCTGTTCCTGTGCACATCCCCAGCTGCTGGTGCTCCCCTCCGAGAGCTGATCTGAACCCTTCGTTGAACTGACGAGTCGCTTGACTGGAGCCTTTTTTCTTTTTTAGTGTTCGGTAACGTATGAGGAAAAGCTTCCTTAACAGTGAACGGTACTTAGGAACTGAAGAGCTTTAGAAGCTAAATTAAACTTCTTAACAACTGGATTAAGTCTACTACAGGCTACTAGTGCAGCTGAGCCAGCATGAACTGCGGGAGGGGGTGGAAGTCCGCAGACAGATTTCAGAATCTCTGCCACCGTTCATTGAACAACCCGATTGCTTTGCATGCTGGTGTGCAGCTCTTGAACCGCTAGACCCTGTAATAACCCACCAGCAGCTGAAAAGGTGCCAATTAAGCAAAGTACATTTTCAAGTAAGGGATCAATTAAGTGCCATAGGGACAGGTTGGGAAGGAAAAGAAGCCGTTACACCCAAATCCCATAAGCAGCCTGCAGTGACCAGCACAGCGCCCCCCCTCCCACTCTGGGCCTGGAGAGCCCCCCCGACCTCCCAGTGCTGGTCTGCTGGTCTTCAGTGCAGCTGACATGAACCCCCGCACTGTAGCAACGGGCTGCCTTGTCCCAATCTTAGCAAGGTTTTTTTTTCCCCAACATTGGAGACATTCAATTGTTTCATAAATGCAAATCTTTAAAAATCCCATCTTTAGGGATTGAAGACAGTGGAATGGTTCAGATTAAATCTATTGTTGAGTCCATTAAGGACTTGGCTATTTTATTATTAGAGGGGGAGTGGGAGACCCTGCTGTGGACTCAGGGTGGCTGCAGTTCAGTAACCCAGAGCTGGGCAAGAGGGGACCGCGCTGGAGCCTGTAGCTCTCCTGGGCCAGGCCTCCGAGAGCCTCCTACACCAAAGCTCAAAGAGCCAGGCTACTGTACCACCACCGCACAAAACAAGAAGCGTCTGGCTAGAGGGCGAGCTGATGGGGCTCGTCTGTGGTTTTTTTGTCGAAGGCGGAGGCCATTTTAAAACAAATTTTCAATGCCACTGCTTTGCAGTGGCTGCAGGCTGGGACTGGGAGGGGCTATACCTGCATGTCACAGCTTACTGCATGAGGAATGTGCCTGCTTCATCTACCGGGGAGGGGAGGGAGGGACGGGGTGGGTAAAGATGTATTTATGTATTTTATTAACAGTTATGCAGTTTAAAAAAAATAAAACTTTTTTTATTTACTGAAAGCGATGCCGGAGCTCTTCTGTCTTAAATGTCTTTGCACATTTGCAAACGCACACCCCAGCCCTGTCGCACAGAGAGGGCCGTTCGAGACGCAAGCCTGCAGCACTGGTCAATTGAGGTAGGGGCCTGCAAAGTGCAGGAAAACATTCACGATGTTACACTTCCATTGCAGCAGCTAGGCCAACTGCTCTCCCGGCTTCCAGTACAGGGGTTTGAGGCTAGCTGCATCTTAATTACACAGATCCGATTTCCTATTTCTGCGGTTAAATTGAAGGTTGTCTTTGGAACTATGACTGAAAGACTAAGGCTGCCTGGGTCCGTAGATCTTACCCTCCTGGCGGCTGCTGGCGCCAGTGTGTGACTGCAGGTACTTCTCCCAGCTGATTCACAGACAGGGACAGAGAGATGCTCATAATTTCCCAGCTCCCAGCCCTTCCTTCTCCTCTACCACCTTCGCCCCTGCTGCTGCGGTCTACCCCAGGAACTCACCCAGGGTCACAGCTGTAGTGCCCTAACCTTACCTGGGCCCTGAACTCACCACACCTGCTGGGAAAAAAACTTTGCTTTTGGGGAAAGTGCCGAAATACTTGTTAAAAATCAGTCAAAACCAGAGGCACGGTTTCAGGATAGGGGTGTACACCGGACAGATCGCAAACCCCCTACGTCTGCGCCAAACTGAGCAGCTGTGGCAGCCAGCTGTTCATCTTTCAGTATCTTGACAACAGAGCGCGGGTCAGCTGAGCATGTTGCCAGTCTTTCTGCGACACAGAAAGAGAGGCAAAGTACAACCTCTTGTCATGGTCCTGGAAATTTTGCATATCAATCATGAGTCTAGTTGTAGCTGTATTGCACTTTTTTGTGATCAAAGGATCCCAAAGCACTCAGGCAGAGGGGAAGACTCCTCCACGCATCCCTAGAGTGCAGAACGCACCTGGGGTACAGTGCAGTCTGTAAGAACAGTGACACCATTGTTGTTGTTCATGCTCCGTTTCATTTTAAACCCAATGTGCTGGAGTATAATGACTATGAGGTTAAAATAGGAGGACTATGTATAAAAAGGGCTGCGATTCCTCTATGGTTCACCCAATATAGAACGTAAATCCCCTTGAATTAAAGCTAACACTCTGCACTTTAACCTCATAGCCATTGTTTCATTTTAAATCCAATGTGCTGGAGTACAGAGCCAAAACAACAAAAATGGTGTCATTGTCCGAATACTTACAGTGCACTGTACATGTGGCAGCTGTTCTGTTCAGTCGAAGGAGTGAGAAATGGCTTCAGTAGAGCTTTAGGAAGGCCAGACTGGAATTCGCCCCAGCATGCCCAGTCACTATCCCGAGGCATTGCATTGGAAACTCTGGTCAAAAGGCAAAAGCGCCCCCTACTGGTCCACCAGCACCATGTGTTTTCCCTGAAGGTCTCTCATCGCCATACTGACCAGGTGCAAGCCTTGACTGGATTCCGAGATCATGCAAGATCGAGCTATGAGACGGCTGCGCTACTCAGGCTTGATGGTCTTGTTATCCAATCTTGCAAGCTGTTCTGCAGCAAGACCCTAAAGAAATGCTTGTGAACATTAGTTCAGGCCTCCTGGCTCTCCTTCACCTGCCCCCACCCTGCAGATCCACACCTGCCCCCTTTCTTCATCCAGCAGGGCTTTAAAAAACAAAACAAAACAAAGGACACACCACCAAGACTGTGTGCAAATCTGGAGTTCATGTCTGCATATATTTCACAGAAAACATTCATTCTATTGGAGCTTCAAAAAGATTCAAATGGCAGGAGAAGGCTGCTTTAAAAAAAAAAAAACACAACAAAACAAAAGAGCTTCTCTGCCCCTGTGGTATAAACAGTCCTACTCAGTCACGGCCCCTCTGCCCCACAGCGGGCTTGCAGCCGGAGTCTAGGGCCCATGGGGGCCCCCGTTTCTGCAGCCGTGCCCTCTGGGTCTCTCTCCTCCTCCTCCCAGGAAACGCCAGAGGGGTCTTCACGGGACCCCCCCAAAAAAATACTTCACACACAAAGGAAAATGAAAAACAAACAAAAAAAAAAATCAAAAAATATATTTATATATTTTCGAGGTATGTGTCCACAAACAAAACACAAAAAAAAAATTAAGCAGTTGTTTTAAGTTGTTAAACTTCCTCTCTCACTTTACCAGAACCTCTTAAAATAAAATAAGAAAAACCATAATTACAATAAAAAAATTAAAACAGGGAGAAGATCCTCCCCACCCATCCTCCGCTTCTCAGTCCTCTCCAGATTGTCCCGAGCGCTGAGCTCAGTCTCCCCCTCGCGCTGTCCCGGCGCCCCTCACCCTCTCCCTCCTGCAGGAGGAGTCCACAGCACTAAGCCATCCAGGCCCCCAGGGGGCGACTCTCTCTCCGCGTCCTTGCCTTTTCCTTCTCGGCTGTCTCTGCTCTCGAGGAGTACAGAACAATCTCCCGTTGGAAATGAAAGGGAAAAAAAAC